ATTTTCATCTATTTTATTTACAAAAAAAAAAACCGAAAAAACGAGCCGAAATAATGAAAAACAAAATGAAAAGCCGACAAAAAGGAAGAAAGAAGTAAAGCAGCGCGCTACAAATGTCAGGCAGTCTGTCAATATGGAAGCACTTTCCCTCCCATTTCCATTTTCATTTTCCCACCCAGAAGTGCCCATCCCATCCCTTTCATATGATGTATTACCCTCTCTTTCTAGGTCCCCTTTCCAAGACTCTGGTTCCTAACTTGTTGAAAAAAAGGACAGAGACTTTCTAAACTTTTTCAAAAATCAGTTTTTTAAACTCTATTTGAATATTTTTCATAAAATATAGGTATGGGGGGAAGTACTTGATCCTTCTCTGAATATTTGCCTTTTTTGGGAAACCAATCCGATGGATAAGGACAACCTTATCCTTTTGAAAACTAAAAGATTATGGGGATTATTGGCCTTGTCACATGTGTGAGCTCTACTGCCTATTCCGGCTCTTAACTGTTTTACTTCAAACAGTCTTTTTTTTTGTTCTTTTTTCCAACCCATAGTCAAGATTGGATAAAGTAGACATACCAGGTTGTATTTGAACTTGAAATAAGCTTAAGAAATCAAAATTTGTTGATACAATTGTTTCTAAAATGTGTTGATCTAAGATATATGTTAAGTATACAAGGAATGTGTGTTTAATTTTGGTTGTTGACCTAATTTTTAGAAGGGGGTTTTTTGTAAGAAGAGTATTTTTAGAAAGACACTTAGTGAAAAGTTCGAAATCTTCAGAGGAAAATAATTTTTTTGTTTAAAATTTTAATAAAGATTTAAACAGAATTTTGGTATAAATGTTATATAGTTGGTTTATCCTTTTCATAACTAGACTTGTTTACTCTCCCCTAAGTCCCTGCTCTATCAAAAGGGGGTTTTTTGTAAGAAGAGTATTTTTAGAAAGGTATTTAGTGACAAGTTCGAATTCTTCAGAGGAAAATAATTTTTTTGTTTTAAATTTTAAGATTTAAACAGAATTTTGCTATAAAAGTATATGTTATAGTTGGTTTATCCTTTTCATAACTAGGTAAGTTTACTCTCTACTAGTTCCCTCCCCTATTAGGCTTCACTGTACCACTTTTTCTCGTTACTCTTGTTGATTTTTATGGCTATTCCTTGTTGAGCTCCTTGTTGCTCGGAGTGCAAACGAAAGATTTTTTGGTGGCAACTCCCATGGCAACTTGTTGGCCTTTGTCTGCAAACATACACAGTCCAGACCCAGACCCAGGCACAGGCCCAGGCACAGGCACTGGCACAGGCATTGGTACTATATACGCTTTACAAAGATATTATGTAGATATGTAGGTACATTTGTATCTGAGGCGGCATACGTGCCGTGCCGTGCCGTGCCGAGTGTGTGTATCCATTGAGAGGCTGGAAGGCTGGCTGGCTGGCTGGTTGGTTGGTTGGGTTGGGATGGTGTTTTTGTTCTCGTCTTTCAGCTGTTCAAAGATTGTTAAATATCAAAGCGAAGAACCTCAACGGGGGAACTCTGTTTTCCTTGTTCTTATTGAAGATAAAGCTGAATTTGTTTATTTATCCGTCTGTCGGATGGGGCGACACACACACACACACACACACCCTCACCTTAGGTATCCATCCATATATGGAGGATTTCGATACCAATCGTTGGGGATTTTCGGGGGTTGTGTTCTGTAAGGGTCCTGTAATTATCATCTTTGGGGGCACTTCCTATTGGGGTATACGCCCCTGTAATTTAAGTAGAGTTGATATCAAGGTTTATTACTGGTATATATGGGGGGGGGGAATTAAGAGAAAATTTCAGATAATTTTTCAGATAAAAGGACTGAGTTTGAGGTTAGTATAGATACGGACAAGCGGACAGACGGACACACGGACAAAGGAACTTTACTAATTGGAGGTTAACTCTAGAAATTGGTTAACAAATAAGCTTAAAATGTTGTATGAGTGGGAAACTATTAGTTTAAACTTTAAAGATTAAAAAAATAAATAAAATAGTTAGGCGGACAAGCGGACACACGGACACTGTCTTTTTTAGTAGCAACTCAATTAGGAGCTTCTATCATTTAATATCCTCTACAGACCTACAGTCTGTAGATATACTTACTTATAATATAAAAACCAAGGACAGGTGCATGCCAAAAGGTTCAATTAAACTTTTTTTTATATTATATCCTTGGTAACTCCCCCCCTCCAATCCACCATCCCTCCAATAAACTTGCCAAACTCTAAACTTTCTCCAGTTTAGACTATTCATTCGTTAACTTTCCGCATAATTGAATGGCTTAAGTTTTCAACTTTTTGTATTTTTTAATAAATTTTAAATCTTTGACTTTAAGACGTTAAATTAATAATTGTGTAATGTCTGTTTGGGATGTTTGGGAATGAAATAGAGCTTCCTGGCATTCGATAATGAACCTTTGAGGATGCCGAGGATGCGTAACCTACACACACACACCCATAAATCGAATCCTGTTGATGGACAGGACAGAGCGGTTGGTGGGGGTATTACAAGTAGTACACACAGGGCGCCCCTATATAGGTTTACACACAGATACAGATACAGATATATATATATATATATATATATATATATCTAAAGGTATAGACAGACAGTTAAGGGAACAGTACAGACAGAAAGGACGAAGGACGAGAGGATACGAGAGTTGTACGAGAAGGGTAACAGGCGGCGGCGGTGGCAGTGGCGGCGTAACACACGCTGCAGGTTCCAAGTTTCTGCAGAAAGAGATACTCAGATACATTCACACACACACACACACACAGATACAGATACAGATACAAATACTCTGACAAAGCCGGTCAGCCGGCACACACCGATACAAAGCCAAGGGGCGAAATTTTTAAAGAGCACCAGGACAAACCCACAGACACTTACACAAAAGACACTCACATACACACACACACACACACTGCCACACACAGATGAACATCTGCTGTGGGAAAATGAGAAACTTTCCACTCGCCACAAAACAAAAAAAAAAAAAAAAAAAGGAGCAAAAGGAGAAAAGCGAAACCCAAGCCAAAAGGAAATTTTCCTCTGCTTACGCACTTTTCCACACTGCAAAAAAAATTAAGGGGGCTAGTGGGAGGTTAGGGAGTGATTTAGGGAGTATTTTAAACAAACTCTTTATTTAAAATTAAAGCCAAGAAATTAATTTAAGGGAGGTCCTTCTTAAAAATAAAGTGAGTAGTATGAGGCATGGACTATGACAAATGACTTCTTTCGAAAGCCGATATCTCGGTTAATACTGGACCGATCTTTAAGCGGAATACCTTGAAAGATTTATGGATTCATTCTCTATATATCTGCATTTAAACCTAGTAATAAAAATTTTCATCCGATTTTTCAAAAATTTTCTAGGAGACCCCTTTCGAAAATTGAGGAAATCATGAGGAGCGTACTTCTAACACCTTGCGAAGTGTATATCTTGGCCAATTCCAGTCCGATTCTTGAGAGGAACACCTTAAAAGATTCCTAGATTCATTCTCCATCAATCTGCATTAAAATATAGTAACAAAATCTCACATCCTATTTTTTTAATATTTTCCAGAGGACCCCCTTCAAAAAAATACGAAAAACCAAGGAACTTCAAATACCTCACCTTGCGAAGGTTATATCTCTGACAATATTACTCCAATCCCCAAAAGATATACCTCAAAAGATAAGTTTATTTATCCTTTCTTAATCTGCATTCAAATTTAAGATAAAAATAAGCACCCATATTTTTTTTGCAGTGCAACCACCGAAAGACTCATCATGAAGGGTGGACCAAAAATACACAAGGAGCAGCGGCCGAAGATGTGATGACCCTGTGCGGGTCCTTTTGCGGGTAGTTGAACCGCTTGGCACCGACATCCTTCTCCGTGCGAATGAGCCATGAACCCCAACACCCCTCCCCCCGCCGCCACCAAAAAAAAAAAATATAACAAAATGCGGGGCAATGATCTGATTTGCCGGAATGTTCCACAATTTTTGTGAAAACTGTTGGGGATAAAAAAAAAAAAGGCAGACAAAATACCAAAAAAAAATAAATAAAATAAAAGAAAAATCGTCAAGAGGGTCCATGACCTGATTTGGCGACAGTTGATGACAGTTTATGTTTGTGGAGCACAAAGTGTTAAATAGGGATTAGGGCCAATGATGGCCAAAGGATTAACAAAATCAGCAAGGACCCCAAGCCAGGATGTGCGTAACGAGGCGTTTATCTATGAAACTATTTAAGCTCCTTTAGCAATTAAATACATTGTTCTATTATCTGATATTATCTGATTAAAATCATCATGTAGGTATTAACCCCTTTAAACTCTGGCATTTAAGGGTTAACCGAAAAGCAATCAAAACAAACATTTACTCACCCACCCACCCTTTTGAATAACCCTTTGGCACTTAATGGGTTAATAAATTACATTAAAAGTTTAATAGAATCTGTACTAAAAAAAAATTAATATTATTTTAAAGAGGTACATTTATTTTAAATAGAATTCACTGAAAGAAATCAATTATAAACAACACTTTTCAGTTAAATATTAAAAAAAAAGCTCTTGTAAATATTTAATAATAAAAAGAGCAATTATATAGTTGACTTTTAGGGTTAATTTTTGAGCTAAGTATTTACCTTTGAGTTTTGAAGTGAAGTGAGCTTGGGTGTTTTTAAATTATTGTAGTTTATTCTGAATATTGTAGGAAATGAGGGTTGGCACTGGTCCTGACTATGGGGAGGAGGGGTTGAAGTTTATGTGTCCTCTGGGATTGCCTCTATTTCTCGTATGTATGTATATATATATATTTTGATTCACACATGAATAACCACAGAGGAACACAGAGTGTGCCACCACTTGAGGCAACAGTTCTTTTGTGTTTTTGGGAAAATATAAAAATTACAACTATATGGATGATTGTTTATGAATATGTTATAGCTTTAGATACATATTGTTCTGATTTTGATGTCAAAAAAAAAGAAAAGAAAATAAATCATTTTATAAAGTGACTTCACCAACACTGGAAGCTATTTGTGTAAAAATTTGTCGTTTAGTTTCTTCGAGTTGAATTTCAATCATTTCCAAAATTCGAAGCAAAATTTGATTAAAATTTTCCGATTCTCCAATTTTCATCGAAATGAGGTTCTTCAACGTGAAAATGGCTTACTCTTGGGTGGCCGGCGGCTCCAGTTGTCCAGTCCGACGACTGTTGAGCACGGATCTGGTGGCGGCTCTGCGTCCCTTCTACTTGGCCATCCAACCGAATCGCCAAACCCAACGGCCGGCCGAGAAACGCATCAACGAGGAGTCGCTGCGTCTTCTCAGCTCCCATCTGGAGTCCTTGACAGGACATTCGGGTAGCTGTCTGCCCCCGACGGCCAGTTGGAGTTCTACATGCCGACGGCCGGTGAGGGTGGGCCGTTGGAGGGCCCGGTGATGAGTCGTCTGGTGAGGGTGCAGGTGGACCGCAATCTGCTAGATCCCAGGGCCGTCATTCGTGGTATCCTGAAATCGTGTAACTTACTTCAACCCGAAAGCAATAAAGAGTCGAAGATTGGAGGTCTTCAGACACCGGGTCGAGATCTTCGAGGACCACCCAAGGGGGATCCTTTGAAAGAGCTCTCCCTGGATGCATGGATGCGTCAGGCTCTGGCTCGCACGGAGCCCGACGATCTGGCCACTGTGCGCTCCAGTGTCAACGACCTGGAACGAGATCTGATCAAGAGACGGGGCATCCGGAGCATTCGGTATGATTGTGGTTGCAACTTGCAATGCTATCGCAACTGCCTGTGGGACCTGCAGGACGTAATGGACACCCAGAAGGAGAATCCCCTCCGGGATCGCGTCGTCGTCTTTGCCCCGTACACGGGCATTAGTCTGGAGGGCGATGTGATGCTCTTTTCCGGAGACGCCTGCGATGGGTGGCGTGAGTTCCTCGCCGAGATGCCAGTCCACGAGGAGCAGCTGAAGCTGGTGCCGCTCTACGAACGGGCCCTGTCCGCCGTCCTGCTGGGCATACAGATCGCCCGGCGACAGTCCATGGATCCGGGCTCCGATGCTCGGGCCTATGCCGAGCGCCTGAAACGGGTGATCCGGGCGGTCAGCGAGCACCTGAAGCTGGCCGAGAGTGTGGACGATCTGCCCAAGACCCTGCAGCACCACCGGCTGGCCGTTGTCCCGGAAAGCGAGTCACCCAAAGTTAGCCATACGGGCCTGTTCCTGGCCCCCTCATCCTGCCCGGGTCCGGATCTGGTGGACTTCATCTGCCGCAACCTGGAGGTGGCCAGCATGAGAGTTAGACGCTACCACCACGACAGTCAGGTGGAGCAGCTGCTGTGGCGCCAATGCCTCGACGAACTGCAACTGCAGCGCCTCAGCAAGGATGATTCGGTGACACCGGACAAAATGATAATTACGCTGCAGAATCTCCTCCAGAGCGGCATCAGGTCCTCTCCTGGTCTCAGCCTCCATGTGACTAACTATTGGTCCGTGCCCACCGATGGTATCATATGCATTCCCTGGGACTTCCACAAGTCCAAGCTGGAATTTTAATAGCTTCCAGGCCTCAGTACCGAAAATTCCAAAAAATATTTTGCAAAACAAAAAAAGGAATAAGATAATTAATTAATAGAATTTCGGCTAATTTGCATGTATTTTTTGGATATACCTGGATTATCATTTGAAATACAAAATGTGCTCACTTTTCTATGGGCAATATTTGATTATTATTTCTTGATTATTTTTGTTTACATTCTTGATTTCAGTTTGGAGGTTGTTTATTTTTTTGAATTAGGAAAACACTTGCTATATTGGCTTCATCCTGTTTATTCTTATTTACAAAATAAAAATAGACAAAAAAATAAATAACAAATAAATGTCTGGGCTTTTTTTTCAATATATGTAGTTTTTGGAAGGGGGTCTAACATTTTTGTTTGAAGGATTCCTTTCTCATGAGGATGAGGATGGGGATGAGACGAACCAAAGTTCGCAACTCTTGTCTGGATGACTGGGATTTTCCTGTGAAGGCGATCCAGTGGCTTTCGTCCTGGGGTTGAACGTGTGTCCTTATACGACTTCTGTTGACACTAGTCGACTCCAACCACCATAATACTTGCAGAGAGAAAAAATATTAAGATTCTTAATAAAATTTAATAATTTTATAGTGTTGGAAATGAAAGAAAAATATTAGAACCGAAACAATTGTGAATTATTGAAGCCTAAAAAGTAATAAAGATCTTTTTAGGACATTTACCAGTAAAGTAGGATATTATTTTTTATAATTTAAGAGTTAAAAACTAGATTATTTCATTTTAAGGCCAAAAGTTGGTTTAAAATGAGTAATTTGAAGGGTTTTATAAGGAAATTCTTGTAGCCTAGGGCAAGAAAAAAGGCTCTTTTTATTTAAGAACTTTATTAGTATTGTAGTTTTATTATTTTAAATTATTATAATTATTATATTAATGAAGAGTTTAGAACTAGATTGTAAGGGTTGAGAGTCAAAAATTGGTTCATTGAGGGCTTTATAATAAAATATTATATCATTATGATGTTGTAAAGGAAATTCTGGTAGCTTAAGACAAAAAAAAAGGCTATTTTTCAAGTAAAGTAGGTTATTGTTTTTATAGTTTTCTGTAATTTAAGAGTTAAAAAAAAGATTATAAAATTTGTAAGCCAAAAAATTGGTTTATAATGATTATTATTGAACGGTTTATATTAAAATATAATTAATTTGTAGTGTTGTAAATGGAAGAATATTAGGAAACCAGAGTTCTAGTATCCTAAACCAAGAAAAAGCTCTTTTTAAACAATTTTATAGTTAAGTAGTTTTATTATTTGTATAATTTTTTATAATTTAAGAGTTTAAAACTCTATTATTTAAGTTTTAAGAGTTATATTTGTTTATAATGAGAAATTTAGGGGTTTATCAAAAGAAATAATGATAATGATAATGACTTTATAGTCTTGAAAAGGGAATTCCGGTACCCTAAGACAAGAAAAAGTCTTTTAAACCACTTACCAGTATAGTAGGTTCATTATTTTAATAATTTTCTCTAATTCAAAGATTAAAAACTGGACTATAAAATTTGTAAGCCAAAAAAGAGTACTCCCCTTTATCCAAACACCTTGAAAAGCCCACCAAGAACCTCCACTGGCTAAGAATTTTATTCAAAATCCATCGCATCCTATTAAATCAATTAAAATCCTCATAAAATATGAATAATCTTGTTTTCTTCAAGTGTTCGCGACCCTCACTGTTCTGGTTGTAAGTGTTCCCTCGAACAACCCCATAAACGGGCATGGTGGATGGGCCTCCTGGCCTGGCCTGGCCTCCTTTCCCATCGCCCGGTCTAGTGCGAAATTTTCTGTAAGATTTAGCTAATGTTCCATGGCTTCGCTCCATCAATGTCCGGATGGGAATGGGAGTTGGGGGAGGGGGTGTTGGGAGATGTCCAGGAATAGGGGGATGTACATATAGTATGTATGGGGAAGGATGAATGGTGAACCCGGAACTCGAAACGGAAAGCCGGTGAAGTTTGTCTGGTGTTGCTTATCCTTCGGCCTTATGTTTGCTCTTTTTCTTTACTTTCCTTTGGCCCCGTTTTCATGGCACAGACATTGTCAACCCAACCACCCAATCCATCCAATCCACCCATTCACCCACTCACCCATCAACCTATCAACCTTTCCCCCGACAACTTTAAGACCCACACGTGTCCACTGGATGGAGGCATTACGATCTAATAATAAATTTTCAAGTACTCTACGCAGGAATATATTTAAATAATATTTTGTAAATCAAGCAATCCATGACTCGATTTGGTAGAACTGTCAAAGTGTGTTAGTTCGAACCCCCTGGAGTAGAGCCTCAGTTTCATATTTCCTTCACAACTAGAAGTTACATATTTATTTGGCTCATCACAATAAGATCTGAAACTTTTTGATTCAAAAAACGAAAATTGAAAATCTGAAATTTGAAAATAAAAATATTTTAATAACACTAAATAATATTCAAAGTTAAATCAAGTGACTGAAAAGATAATGGCTAAAGCTAAGATATCGCAGTGGTTGAAGCAAGTTCGTGATGCTGGTCGTGCTCTCCAGATTGGAGATGTAACCACCCTACGTGATCCCTCCAAATGGGGCTTCCCCTGGATTCAGGTATGGGTTACCAACAAACCACAGATCTCTTATCAGAGGTCTCTATATAATGCCATCCCCCTACACTATAGGCTGGAAACCGCTACCTTCCATGGTCCGATAATGCTGGCAAGAAGACCACCAACCAGCAGGAGAAGAACATCAATGCTGGATTAGGAGGTGCTAACGCTGATAAGGTCAAGACTGGACCCAAGACAACAATTGAGATCAATACCAAGGATAGTGCCCAGTCCACCAAGATGACCAAATTGGGTTACTTTGGACGTGCCTTCTACTGGTGGCGCCTCCCGGAGAAATAGGAGATGCCATCCAATCTTCCAGAGCCAATCGGATAGCTCTAATGTTCCAGTTCAATTGTTAAATCGTTTCGTTATGTTTTTTTTTGTTTGAAGATCAAAAATAATACTTAGGATAGTCAAGATGCATAGCTAGCCGAGGAGGAGTAATCCTGAAGTCCAGGCACCAAGCTTGCTACAAATTCTCGCAATGATATCCAAATTCCGTATAGAACTGGACCAGTAACCGCAAAAGGGCATTGTTTCTATAAATGTAATTCTCTGCCAGGTTTTACATTTTCATATACATTTTGAATATATAGCCTGGTCCTCATACAACAAAAATATTATATATTAGTGGTTTTTATTTTGGGGGGGGAAGGGTTATCATATAGAGCCTTAGAGAACAAGAATCAAGAATTGGCTTCTAAAATATTTTGCATTATTTTATCATGTCATGCTTAATGGGTTCCTTTGTTTTCTCATTTGAATAAAAAAATTTAAATATTTTAATTGTCAAATAAGGGATATTATATATGTTCATTCAACTGGAATATCAAGTGTCAAATATTCTCCGAATATCAACCTCAGAATTGAAAATTCCATGGAGACTAGATGTATGTATGTTAGGGGTAAGTTGTTGGGTTTTTTGGGTTAAAATATGGTCCTGGGGTACTACTCCCATGTGTGGCTGATTTGCACCATCATTAAAATCATCATCGTCAGCATTTGTAATCTAATTTGCAGCCATCTCATCATCATCATCATCATCATCTGACCCCACATTCAAAGCTGTCCAGCTATCGTGTCCTTTTTTACATTTTTGATTCAAGGATTCCACCCATTGGCAAACAATTTAAATGGGGTGGTGGACTAGAGAGAGTGGTGGTAGTGTTGGTAATGGTGGTGTTTCTTTTGGTCGAATGTCATGCATATTGTATTACAAGGGAACACCCAACCCCTCTGGCTATCTGGCTCTCAGGCACGAAACCCTAACTCAAACCCATGACAATCTTGTTGAGTGTCATTCTGAATAGATTTCGCTTCTTGTGGGGTATAAAGCCAAACAACAATGAAGAGGTCTAATGAAACAGGGGGGGTTGGGGTTGGGGGAGGAGATACTCCCAGGAAGTAAAATAAAAAGAATATATAGAGTTCTGTCTCGGTAAGTTAACTAAAATGGGCTTCCAAATTCCGGATTCCAAATTCCGGTCAACGGAAATTGAAATCACCAAGACGATTTTAGAGTTAATAATATTTAATATTTAAGACTTAAGATTCTTCTTATTTTCATTCATTATTTTGCTTGTTGGATTTTTATTATTGTACAGAATTTAGTTAGTGTATAGTTTAAATTAGTGTAATATGTAACATATACTTAGTGGACTCTATGGGAGACTGCTTCTTGATATTATCTTTCTTTCTGATGATAACTGAATTGTGGGAAATTGTGGAGGATATATGTATGGATGTGTATGATAGATAGAGTTATCCCGTTTAGGGATTATCGCTTGATGGGGCACAGTACTGCCGGAGTTGGGCGTAACTGCATTTGTTAATACAACAATTGCGAGTTAAGGACCCATCCGATGATCCTTGACGTTTACTCCGATTCCCAAAACTGTTGGCTGTCCGGATAATACAATTATTTCAATTAATATAATCTTTCAAAATGATATATCCATATATAGTGATATACTTACGAAAAGCATCGCTTAGGGATAAAAACTGTCCGGCGCAAACCAAATGTATTTCATCGGCTAGTATATCGGCGCAGAATCTTCGAGGTGTGTTATCCCGTCGGGGATCTGTGAAGGTAACTGGACTGGCCCCCACCTTGGGCAACTGCATCCAATTACTGATTAGGTTCAGGGAAGCCAGCACTACAAAAAATGAGGCCAGCAATAGCAGGATCTTGGACGTTGGCACTACGGAAATCATCTGAAAGATATAGATATGAAAGATATAGTAATATTATTAAGGACTTGTCTCCTAACCCATTCCCCATCTACTTCTCCTGCCTTGTATACGCGTCTGTCTGGTTTCTCCTCTCAGTCTTATCAGGGGCTTCAAATATTATTGTATTTTTCTGATGGATGATTCTGTTTTTGTTTGCGTCTGGAAACTGGCCAGGAAATATTTACATAAACTTCAGTGTTTAAAAATAAACTGAACGCCCCCTTATCGCTTATCATTTGGAACATGGGTTCTTTTAATAAACACAATAATTATCAGAAGTCAGAGAGTCGTCGCGTATAGTAGGAGTGAGTTTGTTATTGTTTGTTTTTCCTATGAAAACATATAGTCTTCTATATATAGTAATGTGGTTCAATGTTTTTCCCCACTTCTCTCGGACTATACGCATAAGTGATATATATATATATATAGTTCTATATATAGAACTAGCGTATACCACTTTGTAGATTTTGGGTTTCTAAGAAGTATTTTTTTTTTGTGGAAGAGGTTAAGGTCGTTGTTGGATATATATATTCTGCTTCTTGATAAGAGTTTGTTTTCCATGAATTAATGTTTTAATCTTAATACTCGTTTATTTGGAAATAATTCTATAAATAGCTATTACTATAATACTTACATTTGCATGCTGCTTTGGCCCAGACTTTGACGGAATATATATTTCGATATATATATATAGATTGATATATAGGAGTGCGTATATGGGTTTTCCTTTGTAGTCCTCGATTGTTACAGATCAAGGTACATATATAGATAATGTATATATATATATATATATATAGATCCCCTTTTGTTGTCGTTGTCTTTAGAGTTCTATATCGGATATTATCACTTGCTTAAGGAACTTTCTTTTTTTGTTAATTTGCAGTTTAATTCTTTTGCGATCACACAGTTTCAAAATCACAATCAATTGACGAAAAAAAAAAAATTAAAAACAAAACAAAACGACTAATAATAGTTATATCCTTTTTTTTTTTTTGTTTTTGGTGGGTTTGTTTTTATAAAGGTTTTTTGTTGGGTTTTTTGTTTTTGTTTTTTTGTTTAAATTAGGATACGTGCAAAAAAAAAATTATTTACGAATTACGCGAAGCGATAAATATCGATTAGTGTCCTTGCGTTATCGTTAGACGACTATCGGAGTGCTTTGGTGTGGCGTGGAAGTAGAGAACTTTGGCCCCTGCTGCTGCTGCTGCTTTTCTTGTTGCGGTATGTTGTTGTTGTTGTTGCATCGCGTCGCAGGATCAGAGATATATATATATTGGCTATATATCTCTAGGGGGGGTGTTTGAAGAATTAATATTATTATTCCGCCGATGTTGCGGCTGGCTTGGAATTGGAAACGCTTTTGGGAGCTGGAAACTCAACGTCGGCCTGGAAGCTACGATGTTCGGCACCTCCAACTTGACTCTCTCTCTCCTCTCTCGTGCTTTTGAGCTGGTTGGTCTTCCCTCTCTCAGATTCTCTCCTCGGCGCTCATTGCGGTGGCGGTGCTTGGCGTGTCCTTATTGTTGTTGTTGTTGTTGTTGCGGCCGCTGCAGCTGATGACCAGCACGGAAGCTCTCTCTCTCTCTCAAGCGTCCCTTTTCTTCGGATTTGGATTCTTCGGTTCTTCTGGTTTGATGATGTTTGCGGTTGTTTATTTTTAGATTTTCTTTTTCTATAATTAGATTTCGCGTTACTCTTTTTTTTCTACTTTAAAGCTGTTGCACTTTCTCGACGAGCACTTTTCCTTTTCTTCTTTCTTTCTTTTTTTTGAATTCTTCTCGTTCGGTTCGGAAGAACGTTCTTCGTTGTTTCACAGCCAAATTGAAAAAGAACCGTTGTAGCGACGCCAGCTGACCGCGAAGCCCCAAAGCGCCGCTCGATTTTCCCACTTGCGTGTCTCTGTGTCTGTGTCGGTGTGTGAGTGTGAGTGCGTGCAAGCGAGAGGCAAGTAACACCGAATGGGGAGTATGGCTTGGCGGTGCATGTCAGAGTGCTCAGCACGTGGACTGCAGGTGTGAGTGACAGAGCGAGATGGTGATGGCAAAGTCCAGTGTCTTGCAAAAATCAAAAAAAAAAAAAAAAAAAAAAAAAGCCATCGCAAACAAATGCTCAAAAATTAAACAATTTGCCGGCCATGACACATCCAATCAACTTTGGGTCACAGTGGGCGGTTAAGTGTGTTTGAGTGTGTTTGTGAACGTTAATACAGGTGGAACTCTATAAGCTAAAGACTAAGAAGAATTAAAAGAAGAAAAGATTTATTAAAAATTAATAGAGTTCAAGCTCTTAACTTCCTTTAGATATTTTTTTTTGGTAAAAATTTAACTTTTATTTATTATTTTATTACTCATTTTTAATCTCTAGCTGCAGTTGCAGTTAGTAATGCTCGACTGTATGTCCATACAATGGAATAATCACATTAATAAGATCGCCTTTGAGCAAAGTACACACAAACATTCCGGGCACACGAAACAGCTGTTTGTGTGAATGTAATTGTGTGGGTGTGCGTGCGGTTGTCATGCCTCTATGTATGTGTGTGTGTGTATCTGTGTGTGTTTGTGCCTTATCTGACAAATGCACACAGCAACAACACAGCATCAAAAGTGACAACAACCACAATAGAGAGCAACTAGAGTGAATCCATCAGTGGAAAGCACAGCATCCCCCTTTTCATGTCCCATCCCATCCCATCATAACCCATCACATCCATCCAACCATCCATGCTCTATATATATATATGGATGTATGCACTTGTTGATGATTTTGATTTTCCTTGTTAACGGTAACACGCTTCGTCAAAAGCAACAAAGTTCAGCTCAAATGGCTCTCCAAACTATTTTTACATCAATTTATCGTTAACTGAAGCATTGCGTTCTTAGAAAATATCTAATAATAAATGATGATATGTGGGTCTTACATATAGATACATACATATATCTAATTATTCAATTCAATGGAAATTTAAGAAATTAAGTTTTATGACAATCTTTCATGCAATACAATATACTTTTTAGGCGACCTAGTTTTGCCTTTTTTCACAAAATACTATCAAGTTTTTAGTTTCTAGGTAAAATTCTTTGATTTCTATAGATATTAGTATAAAAAGTTATTATTAAAAACCATAAAAATAATAAACATATGCCAACATAAACATAAGCCCTACAACAAAACATCTTTTTGTCTCGAAGGACCAAAACATGAAGAATCTAATGCTATGACTTTCTTTCTTTCCTGGCTTGTTTAAACCTATAATCTTAACAATTCTAACAATTTTTAAACTAATTAAAGGCTCTCTTAAAAAATACCTCTTCGAAAAATCCAACCTATCACCTATTTTTTTGATTTAAAATCAACCCTTTATGTCAAGGGATCATCAATTCACATCTGGAACTTAGCATCTGGATTGAGTTCCCCGAGTGCCAGATTGTACGTATAACGGTATACCCTACATACGGACACGCTCCCGGGGTCTTGGGCTTTCAGATAATGTCTAGGGGCGATAAGGTTGTTGATGTTTTTGTTGCTGGCGCTGCGACTTCGACTTCTCGACTGCAGCCGATGAAGAACGGAAGCCAATGGGGCAGCCCCACATGATGTTCGGGGAGGGGGTAGGTAGGGGGGGGGTGGGAGTAATGAGGGGTCTGAACAGGGGGATGGCGTAACGCTGTCCGTCCGTCAGTGAAAAAACCGTAAACAACGAGCAACGTGAATTCGACGTGATCTAGTTTAAATTCAAAATAAAAGATCCCTATTTTTAGCATTAATCTTTCCCTCCATTGGAGGAAAACAACCGAGACAGAGACAGAGACGGAGCTTAAAGAGAAGAATAGACAGAGATGACTATACAAGGACAGAAAGAGATGGTAGATGGAGAGGCCCTGTGTTCTAAGTCATCAAGAGGGAGATAAGCCAAGGTTTTCACTCAAAAATAAAAGTTTCTTTCTAATTTTAGACAAATATATTAGAGTACTATAATTATACGAACTTTTCTTGCCTATTTTTAAGGGTTCTATCTCTTTAAAGCTTTTATTATTTAATATTATCATCAACATATTTTTTCTCTGTGTATGTTGTTTGGAAGAGGATGGTGTTGTTGATGATGCTGGGGATGCGACATGAGCCATACGCAATACGGTTCAGAGTCCAAGGTGGGAAGACCCACCACACGGCAGGCGTTCCAACACGTCAGGGTCAACGATTCGACAAAGATTTCGATTAAAACGATAAATAGAGTGTATTTCAGACAAAATTCATCAAAAATCCTAGAGGTTTTATCGAAATAAAAGGACAATCTTTCGAGTTATCGATATTATCGATTAATTGATAAAAAGAAAGCCATTAACTGTTAGCGGGGGTTAGCAAAACAAGAGCAGGCTCTTGGTTTTTTCCTCTAGCCAGAGACCCCGGCGATAAGCCGGACAATTGTGGGCGGTTGTGGGCGGGCGGCGCCACAAATCACCGAGGGGCCGGCGCGGTGATGGAGCGTCCCAGGAGCGATCGAGCGAAATATTGTTTACTTGTGCTAAAATTGGATCTCCATTGATTGACAGAGCGGCAATCGGGCGCCAACAACAACAATAGCAACTCTTGAAACAGAAACAGAAAACTGAAATCAGAATCAGAGCCCAGCTCAGACGCAGATTATTGACCCAGAAGCGTGGAGGAGGTGCTGATGTCTCAGATTCTATATATATATATTACATATATATACTTCAACAGTCTCAGTTGCTCCCTCTGCTTCAGTCGACGTCTCTGCTGGTGTTTGTTGTTGATACCAAAGCCTAGACATCAACAGTCTGCAATCGTAATAACAAAATATATACAAAAAAAAAAAATAAAAATAAAACAAAAATAAAAAATAAATAAAAAAAAAAATATATTTGCATTCTAGTGGATTGAACTTTGCAATCGAGATTCTTGGAATTTGGTCACATTATTTAAGGACTTTAGGGTCTCATATCCACAAAATTCTTTAAAAATTTTAAGAGTTTCTAGAACCCATTAAAGTCCCCCCAGTGATTTATAGTTTTCTTCCAAAATTTTTTGATTATTTCTACAAAAATATTATAAACTTGGAAATTCCCTTGAATCTGATAAGTTAGTTTTCAAGTTAAAGTCCCCTAGTGATTTATAGTTTTCTTCCAAAATTCTTAATTATTTATACAAAAATATTATAAGCTTGGAATTTCCCTTGAATCTGATAAGTTAGTTTCCAAGTTGTTTACTGAGTAATATTTTAAATATTGTTTTTTTTTTGAACAAGTTCTTGGAAAGAGTCTATAATCTAAGCCATATAAAATTTTTCAACTTTATAATGTTAAGTATTTCCAACTCTATTTTATTTATTAAGTACCATTTAATATACAAATATTTTTCCCTATTGAATATTTAAAGATTCCTATTTGGTTTGTTGATTTTTGTTGGCGAAAATAACACCAGAGAATATTATCGCTCGATGTCAATAAACTGTCGCCGACGACCCCAAACGCAAGCTGCTAAAAAAAATCAGGATTTTTTTTTTCCAGGGGGGAGGCAATGGTGGGCGGTTTTGGGGACAGAGTCTAAAGAGAAACAATCGAGAGAAAGAGAGAAAATGATAGAGAGACCCGGCCATAGACACACTTTTATTTATATTGTTATTTTTATTTTTTTTTTTTGGATGGCCTTCGCATTTTGGGAGGAAAAGTGGGTGGCGACAGAGCACGACAGGTGGGTGGTGTGGGTTGGAAGGATGTCTGCTTTTCCAGCTGCCAATGAACTGCAATCGGTTAAGAGGCCTCAAGGTCAACGTCTGGCCCACAAAACAGAAAAAAAAAAACAATGTCACGGTCGAGAATGAGGTTTTTTTTTTTTTTGGGTTCAAAGTGTGCTGAACTTGAATTGAAACCAAAAAACGTGAAGAAGGCCTTGAACCCTGATGAACTTGGAGAGCACGTTGATTTCCATACGGAATTACCCAATCAAGTGGGATCTTCAAATTCGGACAATTCACCAATTGCATTCATCGGGTAAACGATTGTATTTCTAAAATTATATTAAACATTTCTAAAAAGATCCTATTAGCCAATCAAGTTCTAAGGCAAGAATATGATTTTATTTAATTTTTATTGAAGTTTTATTTGAGAAATACGAATTTTATTAATGATATTAAGGTTTACAAAGTTGATAAGGTATAGTTTTTATAAAGTATTTTTATAAAGTGTAGGTCTTGATCATTAGAATGAAATGATAGACTGGGGAGTTTTTGAAAAGGATACTAGGAGAGTATCCCATAAACTTGGAACAGTATGTGGTATATGTGGTTTTCTTAAGATTCTTGAATATATGATAAGTTTTTTTTTTCAAAGTTTGAAGGCTTCAATATATGATAGCCGGATATCAGAATATCTTATTAGCCAGAAAAATATATGGTTCTTGAATATATGGTATGTTTTTTTTGATCAAAAATTGAAGGCTTCAATATATATGATAGCCGGATACAGGAATGTGTGATACAAAGTAAAGTATAGGTTTTCATAATGGATATTCGGTTCTTTCCTAAAAACTAGAAACATTGTATGGTAACTTTTTTTAAAGCTAAGGCATTGAGTATCTGTGGCACTTGTTTAATGTTAAGTCTTGGAATATACGATATGTGGTTTTTTTTGTAAATTAAGGACTTCAATATATGATATCTGATTTTTCTTTTCAAAAGTTAAAGGCTTCAATACATGATAGCCGGTAGAAAAGTAATGCAAAAAAAATTAAATACAAAGTTGTAAACTTCAGTTCTTTCCTAAAAACTAGAAACATTATGTGGTAATTTTTTTTGTAAAGCTATGTCGTTGGATATATATATGTATGATTTGTGGTAAATTTCTTAAAATTAAGATCTTTAATATATGATATATGTTGTTTTTTCAAAAAATTAGAATATTTCATGTAAACTTGGAACCATAATTGGTTTTTTGTTCCTGGAACTTCAAAGTTAGCGCTTAAAATATATAATATCGATTTCTATTCTTAAAGTTAAGGCTCGGAATATATAATATGCACTACTGTTCTACATTTTACGATCCTAATTATATGATACCCAGTTTTGCTCCCTATAAAGTACTCTCTATTTAATTACCCAAAAAGTAGGCACCCCCTCAAAAAAAAAAAACCCAAAAAATATAAATTCGAAAAAAAAAAATGATTTCAAGCAGTTGGAGGTTTCGTCTGCACTCTGTCTGGTCGGCTGGCGACCTTGGACCCTTACCTCCACACCCCCTCCCCCACTCAGATCTTGTGAGGGGCATTGCACCCGCAAAAGGCTGCTGGTTGCGTGCGTGTCCTGGTGAACTTTCACCCCAAGTCACTGAAGTCTCCAGTATTTTCCATTTTTCATTTCCCATGAAACAGAAACCGAAGCTGAGAAGGCAGTCACTTGACTGGCGCGTGGTCTTCAGTTGTAAACAAAACAACACACAGGCACACACATCCTAACAACAAGTGTAGTATATGATGATTGTAATTAAATAAAATATGAATTATATATAGTGTGTACAATGTATATTGTACATCAATTCAATTACAGAGTGTCGAGTGTGTGAGATTAGGAGACGATTTCAAAATAAATCATTAACCGCATTACAATCATTTCGATCAATTAATCATTGACCAAAAAAAAAAAAAATGAAAAAATAATAATTGAAAACAAATTTTATTCACTATAGCCTCTATAGACTTCTTCATATATAGTCTCTGTGGCTATCTGGTGGGATTATATTATACAGTGACATGAATTCTGGTGACACTGCATCTACAACTCGCCCCCGTGTGCGGGGCAAGTATTATCTTCACCTCCGATCTTGTCATTTCGAAATCCACACACATATTGTTTATAAAAAAAAAAAATTCATTATGATTATGCGAATCTCAAGATTGTAAACAATTTACAACAAATAGTCGCAATAACAATTATAATTAATAATGATTAGAATGGCAACTCTTCGTCGGTGGATGGAACTGATAGAATTTTTTCGATTCATTCAAAGGAGCACAAGGGTATCTCTCTGGCGGAGTGACCCGGTTTCAATCTCCCCTATCATTTCTACAAAAATATAAAAAAAAAAAAATATTCATATATGTGTAAATTTCAATATTTCCCACGTGGCTATTAATCAGTCCTATAATCAGATCAAGGAAGTCAAAACTGGGTTCAAATATAAATTATTTTTCATTTTTTTTTGGGAATCTTTTTCGATTATTTCTAATAAGGAACTTATCATCACTTCATTTTTAAGGAATACTTCATTTCAAGCCTTTGAATTTAGAAAAATATATTTTCGATATAATTCTAACCTGGTTTCTGAATTTGTTTTTTAGTGTGAGTGTGATCTTGATGGGCGTCCATGGTCCTTAACCAGAGCCGGTTGTTAGCTGTGCTGCTTCAGAGTGTTGATCCGAAAAGTTCTGCGGCATCCTGGACATTTGAGAATTTTGTTGCAGCTCTTTTCCGGGATTCGATGACCAAAATGGGGATTGTTGCGTTTCGATGCCACAGTTTGAAATGGATGGGATGAACTTTGATTTTGATGTTTTGGTTTCTTCTATGGATAGTTGGTTGGATAGCACGGTGATTGGGTTAAGTCCTGTCAGTTAATACTTTCTTGTAGTTGGGGTTGCATCGGTTGGGTTTCTAGCTTTTCTGGTGGGTATCGATCGTTTCGTTTCTGCCGGGATTGGGGTTGATGGACTAGATTGGTCTAAGAGTCGCGTGGCGGAGCTGGAGCCGGAACCGGAGCTGGAGCCGGGGCCGCGGCCGGGGTCAGTGCACCTCCTTCAGATACCTGAGGGTCTGAGGGTCCATAACGCGGTGCGTTACCATCTCTGTAGATTGCCATGGTCATGTGGCGCTCCATGAACCCGGCCACGAAAACTGATGCCTGCACTTCCGCGGGGGGAGGCACTTCAGGCAGATACACCGGACCCCGGAAAAGATCATTTTCTCCAATACCGCCGATAGGTCCAACTACCTGGCAAACTCCAAACGGTCCACAAGCACCGTCAGGGGTGCAAGACACCGGCGAGGACGAGGCCAGGGCCAAGATCTGGGCTTCCAACAGCTTCTTTTGCATTTCAAGGGCCTCCAGGCCGAGCCATAGCAATGGCTGGGTTACATACTCCTCCATGCCGACATGGGGCAGGGTGTGGGGCGAACGGCGACGCGGTTGTGTGCCGTTATTGATCGAAGCACCGTTTTGCTGTCCATTGTTGTTGTTGTTATTAACGTTGACTCTGGCACCCCCAGAAAAACTTAGATCTCCGGGGTTATCTAGATATTGAAAGGATACATTAAAGGATTGGGATATCGATATGATCTCACTTTGGAACTGCATGTTGGGCATGTTATTATTTGTTGAATTAGTGGCACCACCGGCTATATTGGAAAAAAAAAAAAAATAAATATTTCAGTTAAGCAGTCAGTTAAATTTGAAAGCTGATGAGAACGTTATGAGATTTCGTATTTGAATGATGATTCTATATAATGGAATAACTGAAACTATATTAAAAGGTTACTACATTTTGAATTATGTTCTCTAAGAAACGGTAGATGCTTTTTCCAACACTTCCTTTGTTCATCCCACAACTTTCCGTTAACTAACACTGTCGAACACTAACTAACACTGGTTCCCAAATAATGGCGTTCTTGGGTAAAAACACGTGTTTTTCTTAAAGAACTTTGTATATTTTTAGAAATTTGATTGAATTTTACTTTTAAATACTTAATATATTATTTTTTAATTATAATACCATACCGTTCTTTGATGAATTTCTTCTTCTTGAACAAAACAATAATCTTTTCAGCAAAAGAAAAAACTTTTTCGTTTTTTTGGCGCCAAAATGGAACATTGTTGTGTTTTTTTTTTGTTGTGAATAGAAAACAGAGCTAGATATAGAGCTATACTACAAACTATATATGTATGTATGCTTTTTTTGACATTTAAAAATGAAATGAATAAATGCCTTTTAAATTCAAAATATGACTTATTTTTCAAAAAAACTATGATCTTATGAACTAAACTTGTACTCACCTCTGGCCCGGTTGTTGAGGGAAATTAGTCGTTGTCGGACATCGCGTCTCTCTTCTAGCAAGTTGGCTATCTGCTGTGGTGTCAGTTGAAATGGCTGCGGCGGTGGCGGCGGCGACTGATGGTAGCGATGTGGTCGTCCAAACATTTGCTGTTCACGCAGCGCCACCTCCACCTGATACTCCGTGTGACCCATCATGAACGAATGATGATGAAGGATCTGTGCGTGCCAAAGTGCGAGTTCGATCGCCTGTCCCCGGGTCATTGGATAATGCATGTGTATAAACACTGGTTGTGGGTGATACATGTAGTATTGTTGGCGTTGTTGAATAAAATTCAGATGTGGTTGAAGATGTGTATGAATATATTGGTATTGGAGGGCGTGAGCGATGTGCGGGACGCCCTCAGGAGTGCGTAGATCGTAGATGTGTCGATGGGGAAACGGCTGGTGGTTGTGGGCATGTGTTGGATGTTGGTTCTGTTCGATGATGCTCGGAACCACGAATAGAAGCGGAACCAGCTCACCGTGACGAGGACAGTGCTGGGGATGGATTCCACCGGGGTGCTGGTGAGGTCCCACGTGCTGATGATTATGTCCACCGTGCTGACCAACATGCTGGTGCTGATGTCCACCGTGCTGACCAACCTGCTGGTGCTGCTGTCCACCGTGCTGATGCTGCTGTCCACCGTGCTGGTGCTGTTGTCCACCGAGCTGATGCTGTTGTCCACCGTGCTGGTTCTGGTGTCCACCATGATGGATATGCTGCCCGAAAGGGGGATGACCATGAGGGCAGGGTTGCCCGCCATGTGAATGACCACCATTCTGGTGTTGCTGCACGCCGTTCGGATTCGCGCCAAAAAGCGCGTGTGAGTGTCCGTGTGAGTGCACATGTGGTGGTACGACAGCAATGGCGGGCCGACGCTGATTTGGCTGCGATGGCTGCGCCACGTGCGAATTGTTCGACTGCATCGTTGTGTGTGTGCTTTTTTGCTGATCGAGTTCTTCGTTTTCTTGTGTGTTCGTGTTCGTGCTATCCGTGTGTTGTGTGTGTGGTGTGTGTTGTTTCTGTGTGTTGTTCTGAAGCTCACGGGCAATAATTTGTATCTGCTGTTGAGCGAGAGAAAGTTCCTCACTAGGGCTACTTAGTAGATCGATCTTGTTACTGGGATTTGGGTTTAATTCGTGGAAAAGTTTTTCCAACTGTAAAATTTCATCAGACTTTTCTGTCTCAGGGGCTGTACTCATGGTTTTTTTGCATTCTAGTGTTGCGCTTTTTTTCCAGGAAATGGCGTCGTCCCAGAAGTTTCTAGAAACGCGACCAATTGATCCACTTTTTCAACAAAAAAAAACTAAGAAAAAACAACAACACCACTAAAAAAAAAGCCTAACCATGTGCTTTTGTGTGGCGGGATGACGCCGGGTATGTCTTGGTATGGGTAATTGCACTTACCTTGATCAAACCTCAATGATTTTCAGCTTTTCTTTACTTTTCACTGTTTTATTCACTGGTTGTTTTTCCACTTTTCATAGAATCAAAGAAATTTTAACTATCTTATGCGAAAAAAAAAGATCAAAAATGGAAGACGCTCCGAAATGTTCGACGCGTCGCTGAAGAAGACTTTTTAAAGGTAACTTTGAAAGTTGCCAGAAAGTTTTTCGCTTTGAATTTATACCGCGCGGCATTAAACCACACTGTGCCGGTTTGTGTATCGGAAACAGTGTTGATTTACGTTTTATCGATACTGAGTTTTTACCGCACTTTTAAGTTAATTATAATACCTTAATTTAATACAATTCTAATTATAACTAATTCTTTATATTTTTTATAGAGAAATATACTTTCTCAAAGCTTTAAACTTGCTTTAAAAACTAAAAAAAGTCGAACCGGTAATAATATCGATAGCTTAAAAGTTATCGTTGGAAAAGCCCGTGTGTGGCCTCAGTGTGACCAAGCGCAGTGCGCACGAAAATACATTCCCCAGTAAAACCGATAGTTTTGCAAAAAAAAAAAAGATAAGATTGATAATTCGATATAAATAAATACGACATGCGTACAAGTGCGTGCCAGAGTGTTTGTGTGTGAGTTTGTTAGCTGGAAAGCGAGGGAAAAACTAACATTCTGGGGAAGTAAACTGAGAAACCAGGTAAACTAAACCCAATCCAATCGATTGAGGGCTCACATAAAGACGGGATCAATCGCCTGGGCCAGTGGGGGACGTCATGCGGCCGCCGCAGGAAAGCGAAAGTGGTTGTGGGTGGCTCGCCAGAAAACTCTAAAAACGCAAGCGCAAAAAACAAAAAAAAAAAACCCAACAGCAGCAGCAGCCCCAACACAGGAGCGGAGGAGGAGAAGAAAAGAACGAGAAGAAAGGAACGAAACGAAAAAAAAAATCGGGCAAGCAACAAGAAGAAGGAGAGAAGGATATTTTTCAGGTCATGGTCGATTAGCTGGCATCGTAGTTGTATCCTTGGATCATCATGTCTAGCGAAGCCTCAACGGAGAGCGACAGCGAGCTGTGCGATCCTTTGGCCGAGGAGCTGCACAACGTCCAGCTGGTGAAGCATGTGACCCGGGAGAACATCGATGCTTTAAATGCGAAATTCGCCAATCTGCAGGAGCCGCCGGCCATGTACTTAACGGGTGAGTTTTTTTTTTTTTGGTTTTTTTTGTGATTTTCTTTGGTGGAGCTTTCAAGGATAATCCATATTTTTCAATGACCTTGCCGGTCGGTAGGGTTCTTGGAGTTTTCTTTTAAAGTTTTTCACTTTTTAGCTTTATAATTGCTTTGTTTTTATTTTAAAGTTTAAAAATTAATTAAATAATTATTAACTAATTAGACTCCTCAGTGACTAAGAGTCCTTGAAAGCTTAAACCCTGAAAGATTCTCAAAAACTGAATAATATCCTTAAAAAATACTTACAGAATACCAGGAGCTAACGTCCAAGCTCCACGAACTGGAGGCCAAGGAGCATGAACTGATGGAGCAGCTGAACACGCTGCAGAAGCAGGAGGAGGATGTATCCACCGCCAGCGAGCAGCAGCAGCAGCAGTTGCACCAACAGCTGCAGCAGCGAATGCGTGACCAGCCGCACTATCAGAACCAAACCCAGATCCTCCAGCAGCAACGGCAGCTGGCTCGGGTGCAGGGCAGCGATCTGACCGACAGTTTGGGTGGATCCAATTCGAATCCGGGCAGCCAGTGCGGTACTCTGACTCGCCAGCCCAAGATCCTGTTGCGCGCCCATCTGCCCAATCAGCAGCGCACCTCCGTGGAGGTGGTGGCCGGGGTGCGGCTGTGTGATGCCCTGATGAAGGCACTGAAGCTGCGCCAGCTCACGCCGGACATGTGCGAGGTGAGTACCTCGCATAGCGGACGACATATCATACCCTGGAACACGGACATCGGTACGCTGCACGTGGAGGAGATATTTGTGCGGCTGGTGGACAAGTTCCCCATACGCACCCACATCAATCATCAGTTCCTGCGGAAGACATTCTTCTCGCTGGTCTTCTGCGAGGGCTGTCGGCGGCTGCTCTTCACGGGCTTCTACTGCAGCCAGTGCAACTTTAGGTTCCATCAGCGGTGCGCCGGTCGAGTGCCGATGCTGTGCCAGCCCTTCCCCATGGACAGCTACTATCAACTGATGCTGGCCGAGAATCAGGACAACGGGATCGGATTGAATGGACGCGGCACAGCGGTGCGATTCAACGTGAGTAGCCGCAGTCGGAGTCGACGGTGCAGCAGCAGCGGCAGCAGCAGCAGCTGTTCTAAACCACCATCCTCATCCTCCGCCTCCAACCATCGACAGGGTCGCCCGCCGCGCATCAGCCAGGACGATCGCTCCAATTCGGCGCCGAACGTGTGCATCAACAACATCCGATCGGTGACCAGCGAGGTGCAGCGCAGCCTCATCATGCAGGCCAGGCCCCCGTTGCCGGTTAGTTGACTGATACTCTGGCCATTCCAGTACCCATCCGGACTCATGGATTCTGTATCCTCCTTCCACTCCATTTCCCTCTGGCTTATCTTCTCTTTCAAGCAGCATCCCGGCACGGATCACTCCAACTCGACGCAGGCCTCGCCCACCAGCACCCTGAAGCACAATCGTCCCCGGGCCCGTTCCGCCGACGAGAGTAACAAGAATCTGCTCCTCCGGGACACCAAGAGCTCCGAGGAGAACTGGGTGAGTATAAACCTTGAAATCCTTCTGGAAGATCCTTCCTCTTCAACCACATGAATCCATATTGCTGTTTGCAGAACATCAAGGCTGAGGAGATACTTATTGGGCCTCGCATCGGCTCGGGATCCTTCGGGACTGTGTACCGCGCCCACTGGCACGGCCCTGTAGCCGTGAAGACGCTCAACGTGAAGACACCGAGCCCAGCCCAGCTGCAGGCCTTCAAGAACGAGGTGGCCATGCTGAAGAAGACGCGCCACTGCAACATCCTGCTCTTCATGGGCTGCGTCTCCCAGCCCTCGCTGGCCATTGTCACCCAGTGGTGCGAGGGCAGCAGCCTCTACAAGCACGTCCATGTCAGTGAGACGAAGTTCAAGCTGAATACGCTGATCGACATTGGCCGGCAGGTGGCCCAGGGCATGGATTATCTGCATGCCAAGAACATCATACACAGGTGAGGCATCCATCCACAGCCAGTTGAGTCCCCAATCCAATCAGAATTTCCGTTCCGCAGAGACCTCAAGTCCAACAACATCTTCTTGCACGAGGATCTGTCGGTGAAGATCGGTGATTTCGGTCTGGCCACTGCGAAGACTCGATGGTCGGGCGAGAAACAGGCCAACCAGCCGACGGGCAGTATTCTGTGGATGGCTCCCGAGGTGATCCGTATGCAGGAACAGAATCCCTACTCCTTCCAGTCCGATGTGTACGCCTTCGGGATCGTGATGTACGAACTGTTGGCGGAGACGCTGCCCTACGGTCATATCAGCAACAAGGATCAGATACTGTTCATGGTCGGGCGGGGTCTCCTCCGGCCAGATATGAGCCAGGTGCGTTCCGATGCGCCGCAGGCATTGAAACGTCTGGCCGAGGACTGCATCAAGTATACGCCAAAGGATCGTCCGCTATTCCGGCCGCTCCTCAACATGCTGGAGAATATGCTGCGAACGTTGCCGAAAATCCATCGCAGCGCCAGTGAACCGAACCTGACGCAGTCGCAGCTGCAGAACGATGACTTTCTGTACCTGCCCAGTCCGAAGACGCCGGTGAACTTTAATAATTTCCAGTTCTTCGGCAGTGCCGGAAATATTTAAATCATATATATATATACATATATATATATAGACCCGATTCCCGGCCAAGCTGTACCTGTACTTGTATAGTCCTGCACAGCCAATATCTATCCAACGTGATCTACCTATCCTTGTAGGATTTTTATGCCTGCACACTATATAGATATATAATATATATAAATGGTACTTTTTTTTTTTTTTTTTTGTGTGTCCCCCTCTCCCCTTCCCCCTCTCTGTATATAAGCAATTTGTGAGTGAGACACTGAAGGGGCCAGTCAGTCAGAAAGAGAGAGCTGCTACGGCTGGTGGCTGGCTTCCAGGTGGCGACCGACAATTTGCTGCTTTCCTTGGAACTGACAAAGTGCATTTCTGTTACGACAAACAAACAAACAAAAAAAAAAGAAAAAGAAAAGAAACTCTAAACTATAAACTGTAAAGCTGTAAACTAAACTGCAACGCCCATGTGTACATAAATGCATCATATAACTTATAAAATGTTAGGCGAAAAAACTACTGAAACTAAACTAAAAAACTAAAACTAAACTAGCTGATCGCAATTACATTAAAACACATTATACTTATACTACAGAAGCTCACGATCGTTTCTTTACAAGACACGGGCCTCTTATTTATTAAAAAATAAACATAACAGGAAGGCAGAACCATGGTTCTAAACATATCGACTGGCAATGGCCAGGACCTTGGTGTAGTCGGCACCCTTGGCCTGGGTCTTCTCCTTGAGAATGGAGCGCAGAATCGTCGGTATGGGCACATGGATGCGTGTGCCCAGGGGCGAGCCATTGTCGTCTATTAGCACCAGATTGTTGCTATCGAACTTGGGCTGTTTCGGTTTCTGTTTCTGCTTCAGGCCCACGAGGATGCCCTTCTTCATCTGGCCCTTGATGGCCACCAGCACCTTGTCGCCGATATAGCCCACGCCGCGCTTATTGTACACATGAATGCAGCGAGGCGGTCGTCCCTCGGCCATCGCCCGCTTGCCCAGGTCACTGTTGTCCACCACACGGAGGCGGGCCAGTTTCCGGATCTCGCAGCATGCCGGTGTCGTATGGATGAGTTGTTGCTGCTGCTGGGTGGCCTGTTGCTTCAGCAACAGCTGGCCAAGAGTCTTCAGGTTCCGTAGCGCCATCATGAGGTGTGTTTTTTGGGCGCCTTAGCTTTAAGTTTAATTCATTTAATCAGAAACACAACAAATTATACAATTTCTTGGCAGGTAGGGGTGGGCGAAGAAAACGATGGAGTTATCGATAGCAGCGATAGGTTTTTAACAGAGGCGAGTTAACAGAAATAGGTTTTTATTCCAAAATGAGATTAATAATAAGAAACTATTTAAGAAAATTAATAAAACTTACTCTTTTTAGTTGTTTTCTTTTGGTTTTTCTAGTTTTTAATGAAAATTAGAGCCTGGGTTAGCGGCTTTTTATTGGTTTTGGTTAACATAAAGTTAACAGAGTACCAGGGCTGCAGGCTACTGGAATACAGCCCGCCAAGTATTTAAATAATACGTTTAATTGTTTAAATATAAAATGAAGATGTTTTTGAAGAGTATTTTTTAAGTCTTTGACTTTCATAAGATCTTAAAAATGATAAAAACCCTGTCTGTAAGCCTTTTATTTAATTTAAAAGCTAACCATCATTAAAAAGTCTTTAATAAATGAAAAACCATAGCATTTTTTTGTAATATTTTGTATTTTATTTTATTTTAATACAATGCCATACAAATACGTATGTATATACAATGCTCTCTAAATGCATTTACTGCCTGTTACATTGTTTATTTCATTTATTATGCTTTAGAATAATTTATAAGCATTAATTAAATCGCAATTTTTCGGTTTTTAATTTTTTTGTGCTATTAGTAGGTTGGTTTTTTTATATTTTTTATATTTTAGTTTAGTTTTTGTTTGTTGACACGACTAAGTAGACCAGTCCCATTGGTTAGAAAATTGGTTACTATATTTCACTATGACATACAAAATAATAATATATAGGCATATTTTTTTTTTATAATATATATATAATTATATAAGATATAAATATTAAAGTTTCGCTCTTGCTTGGCATTCGCTGAATCGTTTTTTTAGTTTTTTGTGGTTTTGTTTTTTCACTTTTTAGTGTGGATTGGAGGCTGAAAGGGGGCGGGGCAGGGTATTTTTTTTTTGTGACCTAATGACTAAAACAATGCTTTCAATATAAAAAAAAAACTAAATAGTTCATAACAAAACACTAAGATTAGTTAAAAAAAAAAATACAGAAAAATGTGAAGGCTGCAGTATTATTTACAATTTTTGTGTTTCTTTTTTTTTTTTTAAAGGTACTTGGTACACAAATTTTTTTAACAAATAATAAAAAAAAAAATGGAAATTTGTGCGCGCAGGACTTTTGGGATTTCAACTGTGACAGGACAAGGATATTCAGGATCTATTCAGCTCCTCACGCTTAAAGTTCCGTATCGCCTCCAGGAGCTGGGAACGGGGATCGGGCGTGGTGGGTGTGTTGCCAGCGGATGCACTGCGTCCTGCCTCCTTGGGCTTGACGGGCTTCAGGGCCAGGCCCAGTTGTGGCGGAGGCGGGGGTGGCACTGCTGCTGCTGCTGCCACTGCGGCAGCTGGCTGGGATGTGGGACGTAGCTTCACCTGCAGGGTTACAGCTTCCGACTTTGTTTCCGTTTCCGGTTTCAGTTTCAATTCAACCTTGCTGGTTTTCAGGAAGGTGACGGGCTTGGGGGATGTGGCTGGCGGGGATGTGGAAGTGGGAGCTGATGCGGGTGCTACTGAGGGAGCAGGAGTGGCAGCTTTGGCTGGAGCCGGAGCAGGAGCTGCTACAGGAGGTGCTGGGGTGGATGAAGTTCCGTTCACCAAAACCCTAGAGCTGCGAGCCTTGTCCTGCTCCTGCTGCTCCTTGGCCAGCATTCGCTCCTTGAAGCCAGTGCGGCGCAAGGTATTCTGACCGAACGGTGTGGGTGTCGCCTCCACGGGCTTGTTCCGCTCCAGACTGGAGACGGGGCGTGGCAGGGAGTTGCTGGCGGAGCTGCTGGCGGAGGTGGTGGACACCACCTGGATGTGATTGCCGGCTGGGAGGGTGAAGCGATTGGTCTTGGCAGGTCGCGGCAGTGTCGAGGACTGAACTTGTGTGGGTTTCGGAGCTGGAACTTCCACCTTGGCCACTGGCTTAGACACCTCTTCTTTCTCCTGTGGAGCTTCTGGCACCACATCCCTCAGAGGCTTCACCGTGATGGGAACATGGTACTCCTTACGCTGCGGAATGCCCATCCTGAGAATGGGCGAGGCCACTTCGATGGTCAGCTTGGCCGGCGGCGAGGACACTGTCTGGGATTTCCCAGCACCGCCGAAGATGTAGTCGCCTTCGTTCTTGATCGCCACCTGGGACTTGGGTCTCTCGCTCCACGTGGCAAAGTTGATGCTGGGCGGACCAGAGTACCGGTAGCTGGGCGGCAAGGGCTTGGATCCTGGCGCGGATTCAACCGCCTCCTTCTTGACGGGCTTTGGACTCGGCTCTCGCAGGGCTACAGGGCTCAGGGGGGTAGCTGGGGAGGATTGTTCGGAAACTGGTTTTTCTACGGGCGGTGGTGATGGCTCCTTGGGGACAGTGGTCTTCCACTCGTTAAAAACTTCTAGTGGCTCCTCTTTGCAGACAATAGGAGCTGACTCGAGAACCACAGCAGCGGGCACCATCTGGACAGGCTTGGGTGACGATGAAACCTTATTCTCAACGGGAGGAGGAGTCACTGCTTTCTGGACAGGCTTTTTCTCAACAACCGGAGAAACAGCTACTTTCTGGACAGGCTTGGGAGACTCCACCACCTTCTCTGTAACGGTCAAGGACAGTGGTGGCTTTGGTGGTGCTGCCGGACTTGCATCCTTGACCTGGTTCTTTGGTTCTTTGGTCAGTTGCTGCTCCACCGAAGGACTTGGTATCTTTGGTTGCTCCGCCACGGGACTGCTGCTGCCGGCGCTCTCCGCCAGGCTGTTCTTCCGGGAGTTCAGTATGGTCTTGATCACCTCCAGGCTCTGGAGGGAGGGCGACTCGCCGATGCTCAGCTCGCTGGAGGAGCGCCTCTGGCCCAACGGATAGCCATTCTGCTCCAGCTTGTTGAGCGAGACGTGGGAGGTGCTGCGCAGGCTCAGGCCCTCCCCCGGCCCGGGACTAGCTGAGGGTGTCTCCGGGGAGCCCACGGCCTGGAAGGAGTCCGCGCGAGCCACCCTCGTCGTGGTCTTGGCCGTGGCAATGCTGAAGTTGGCCAGACGACTCGGCTTGGCCGCCTCGATCTCTGTCGGCTCCGGTTGCTTCTTGATGATGGTTTCCAGCTTCTGCTGGTTGATGATGGCCGACAGCTCGTCCACGATCTCGTCCAGCGGCGAGCCGGGACTTCGGTTGCCACCGTTTGCCTTTGCCTGGGATGCCCGGCTGTCGGAGAAATCCGGCGGCGGCGATATGGGCACCGAATAGTTCCACGAGGAGAGCGAGGTCAGCTCGCTGGTGCTGCCGGGCGTGGTCAGATTTCCATTGGGAGTGGCCACCGCCTGCTCCTCCTCCTCTGTCTGGTCTTCTTCCTTGGCGAGGGCGGCCAGTTCCGCCAGACTGGTGGCCACTGGAGGTTCAACCTTCTTCGAGGAGGTCTTGCACAGCTTAAAGTTGTACACCTTGATGGCTTCGTCGTCCTCGGAACTCGATTCCTGCTGCGACTTGTTCTCCAGATCCAGTTCCACCTCCGGCTCGGGTGACGGAGACGGTGCCGGTTCTCCGATTCCGGAATCCGCCTGCTTGGAGGCCGCATCGTTGTCGTCTTCGTCGGCGGCACTGCCCAGGGATCGGGGCTCCGGTGTGGGCGTGCGATTCAGTAGCACTTTGGAGACGTTTCCGTTCTGTGTGGCTGCCAGGCCGTTCTCCACCACCGGCGGGCTACTGGCCACGGGCAGGGGTGTGGTGATCCTGGGTGCCGGCTGGGGGACATTGCCATTCACAGGCGTGGGCGGAGTGGCCACTTCCGGCAGGGAAGCAAGGGACACCGTGTCCCCGCCACTCAGATGCTCCGGCGGAGGAGCCGGCGCCGTTTTCTTCTTAATCTGAATTAGGCGCTTCCGGGGCGTGGGCTCCGGTCCCCCGGCACCGGACAGAGGCTTCAGATCCAGCGTGGCGTAGTGACCGTCTGGGGAGTCCTCCTCCTGTCGGATTACGCCCTTGGCGCTGTTACCGTTGCAGTCCAGCTCCTGATTCCCGGACAGATTCGGCGTGGACATGTGGAGTTGGGGACGCTTCACAATCACCGCATAAGCTGGCTCCGATTTCAGAGGAGCAGGAGCGGGAGCCGCCACTTTAGATGGCGGAGGATTCGAGGGTATCTCCGGAACCGACTGCTCCGGAATGCAAATCTGGCTCGGCGGCCGTGGAGCCGTTCGCTTCTTGCGGGGCGGCGGCGCCAGGACTTTTGCCGGCGGCACCACCACCGGTATCCGGGTGTAGTTCATCCCCGTGGAGTCCATCGAGTTGAGGGAGTTGCTCGAACTGTACGGACTCGGTGTCTTGGCCGTGATCTTCGAGTTCCGGCTGCTGCTGAAATCGGAACTGCTGCTCAGCGAGTCGCGTGCGATCCCAGTGCGATGGAACTTGTGCATGGCATCCGGATTGAAGTTGTCGTACGACTCCGACTTGTGGCACAGCCGGATCTCGGAGAGACCCACGGCTCCGATTGTGGACTCGCAACTGTACACCTGACTAGCGTCCACTGAAAGAAAAGAAGATAGAGTGTGAGAAATTGTCTCAGATTTAAAAAAAAAAGTAAGGATGGGTATCCCTAGGAAGGAGTTCGTCTTTTGAGAGATCCCATGTCTATAACTTGGCCAAAAATAATCCTATTCTTGAAAGATATACCTTAGAAGATTTCTGGATCGATTCTTCATAAATCTGCATTCAAATCTGAAAATGTAATTTTGGATCCAAAATTTTCAAAATTTTCTAGGGGACCCCCTGCCAAAATCGGGGAAATCGTGAAAATGGCATTAGGACCCCTTGGGAAGGCTATATCTTGGCCAATTTTGATCCGATTCTTGAGAAGAATACGTCAAAAGATTCGTAAATAAAATCTATGATAAAGATGCTCTCAAGAACCCCTTTCCGTGTTCTATTATGCTTCGATCCTGTCGCCAAATCCTTACCCCTATCACTCTGACTATATCTAACTCTTACCTGGACTCCGGAACTCGTATTTTTCCGCATCCAGTTGCTTGTTGTCGCAAACGAGGGCCAGGAGCTTGCTGAGCGGCACCCGGGCGCCCAGACGGGCCACGAAGAGCTGGTCCTTGGGGAGCAGAACGGTGATCCGGAAGGTCTGCTCGAAGGGGGCGTTACTGGTGGCGGCGGGCACCGGTGTGATTCGGTTGTACTCCAGCTGACTAGTCTCGTTGATGTCCGTGTCGGTGGACAGATGATGGAGCTGTGTCGTCGACTTGGACAGCTTGCCGATGGAGGAGCTGCCGGTGCTGGATTTGTCTAAAAGGATATTAAGGATTATTTTAAGGCCTTTTATATATTTTTTTTTGGAAATCTTACCCTTTTTTCGGCCAAACCAGCGATTTAAGGTTGAGAAGCCGCCCTTCATGCTGCTCATGTTTCTGGGCGTGGCTCTCTCTTTGATCCTTTTTGTGTGTGAGTGTGGGTGTGCTCTTCCTACTATCACTCTCTCCTTGTCACACTCTTACACAGCTAGCTCGATTTCCGTTTCCGTTTCCACCTTTATGAACTTCCGTTTCGTTTGAAATCGTTTGTGGTTTCTTTTTTTAAATAAATATTTCGATCGCGTTCGAATCGGTAATCTTACGAGTTTCGTAATATTCCTAGAGCATGCTAGAAAATGGCGTGCGATTTCGCAGCAAAGAAATCTGCAAATAAAAGAAAAAAAAAACGGTTAAGAATTAAGTAAAAAAAAAAATACGAACTGATTACAAAACACAAGACTCTAGCTCCGCCAGACCTTATCGGAAGAGTGGTCTGATAAGAATGATGGAGGTGGGTACTGGGTACTCCGTACTGAGTACTGAGTACTGAATACTGGATGGTTGAATGCTTGAATGGTTTAATGGCTCCGGTGGTTATGGTCTCTGGTAGTACGCATTCCTTATGGCTCATTTATCAATTTGCCCAAAAAAAACAGCTACCAGATGTTTTTCGTTTTTTTAACTCAAATTAGATGATTAATTTCCTTTTGTTTTCAGTGTATATTTTCCCCCAACTGATTTTACTTTATTTAATTTATCAATTACATGTTTTTCCTTGCCATTCGCGTTGCTATTTACTTTTTTCGCCTGGCTTAGTGCTTAATTGTCGGCCAGGTTGTTTAATGGCTCACACCTACAAACAAATGGATATATGTATGTATGTATATATATGTATACAAGCGATAAGCTTAAGAAAATCGAAATCGCTGACGCGGCGGAGAAGCTCGCTAGCGACTTGGAGGCGTTTTTTTTGTCGCGTGCGTTTCATTTGCAAACAATGGCCAATGCGAAGGTAACTTTATGGCCAAGATAGGGATATATAGAGTGCCAGAGGGGGGTGGGGAGCCTAGGGGTAGGGGGCTGTAGGTGGGCTGTGATGGACTATTGTCTAATGACACAGTTCCAAGGTGCAACAGTGTATGTGGCATGGAAATGCAAATTACGGCCAATTGTGTTTGAAAACAATTTAGATTCTCACATCGACGACAGTGAGTTTCAGATCCACAGGAAGTCGCTTTTTATTTTTTTTTCTACCCTTAATTAACCTTTCGGAAGCGCCAACCGATTCACGATCATTAATTGACCGATAATTGATTTGATTTCAAGTTGAAATAACTTGTTTCTCTAATCCAGATTCTAGGTTATAAAATATACCTATAACCCTTAAGAGCTATACACTTCATTGCCTTTAACTTAATGATCCGTTGTGTACCAGACACGTGCTCCACAAATCGATTTGTGTTTACATTTTAATGAGCAGCCACGGTTAATTAGTCCAACTATTAGCCAGTCTAATTAGATATTAAACTCAAAACATGGCGTCTCCGGCTTCTGGTAGAGTTGCTTCCCACGGAAAAGAATCGATAGCCTCCCCCCACCCCCCCCCCAGGTGATATCGGTATTACCACAAAAGCACTATAATTGTTTACATTTCACTTTCTTTCTTTTTTAGGGCCTTAGTCACAGTTTATTTTGTGGTAAATATTTATTTACACTTGAGATTTAACAAAAAACAACAAAAATATTACTGGGTATTTAAAGATTCGAATTGCCAAGCTTTTCTAACCTGTTTGTTTTCGAGTTTATCAATACATTGTTGTTGGATTTTGGCCAGGCTAGGCAGCTTTTTTTTATAGTCAGTCACTAAAGTTCCCCTTGAAATAAACATGAGTAAGTAAAAATTCCTCAGCTATCATGAAAATGTGTTGCCTTTTTTTTGTTGTTGTTGTTGTTGGGGTTTTAAATCATCACGTTCCATAAACATGGCTTGCGGTGTTGCCAAAAAAATAAAAATAATGAGCTTGGCTAATAGCCGAAACAAACATGAACACGGACACATTTGGGGGCCTTTTGAACCGGCTAATTGAAATAAAAATTAAATTATACCCAAAAGTGGTGTGAATTTTGTGCCTAAGGGCTATAAGAAACCTTCATTATCTATAACTTTATTGGCTTTGAGTGGTTCTATATAGCCTATAAATTTGAATACAATTGGCCATGTAACTGGCTAACTGGCCTGATGATGATGAATCAGTGTCGAGTCTCTGAGAGCTGCACCTGAACAATCGGACTGTAATTGAACTGTTTGCTTTCGGAGTATCTGTATAGGTGAGATGGTTAAGTAAGGCCCTCTATCGATTTCCACTTCTCACCCCAAGTAGCCCAGTTAACAGGCAAACAATACTGTGCCATATATCTATATATAATACCTACTATATTGTATAATTGTGTATGCCAAGGGGTCAGACCTCCGATAGAAAACAAGGTCTTTAAAATAAGGTCTTATCGCAGTGTGAACTTGATTGATCAGCAGCATTGAAAAATTCTAATTTTTTGTAAGTGGATCTCAAGGAAAGGTTTTCTTAATCATCAAAGCAGGTATATTTTTTTGGGGGAATTATGTAAATAATTACTTGCGGTTTTATGAGTAAGTTCGATTGAAAACTTTCCTGTTTTCTGATTTGGAAACATTTATAGTCCATCAAGAATCTATCAAGTAGAACCAATTGGCTTGTTTATGGGTTAGATAACCCCAACCATAAATGAATGCAAATTGTTTTGGCCAATTTTGAGAGCCCTAATACCGTTATTGGCAACTTTCTACCGTTACACACAACCCCCCTAAATAAATATCCATGAATCGGTGGCTTTATGTTTATATTTATTTTTTGTTGAAAAGTACCGCGAATCAGAAGTACAAACAGTGGATGATTAATGGGTACCCATCTCACTGAAAAAAGGGATCGGAAGTTGGTGATTGGGAAAGCCAAAATTTTTTAAGGATTGAATCATATAATGAGAGATATATAATAAATATGCAGTGACACTGACATTGAAGTTTTGGCATTGCATTCACGACGAGATTCACTGAGGTTGTTGTCTCAAAGTTAGACGATGATATCATATAGTGGATAATACGACGTGAGGGAATTTTTTATTGGTGCTCATCATTGTTTCATTATAAAGAAAAAAAAACACGATCGGCTGGAATCTAACCGCCTAGACCGCTATGCAAATTTCTTTCCAAGTCTCGACCCAGAGTGGTGGTGTCTGACTTTCGTGAGGCACTGTTTTTTTTTTTTTCTGTGACAACCTTTATCTGAAGACGTTGCCTGAGGATGGCAATGCAGCAAATTATCAGCCAGGATGACTAATCCCAAAATATGCTAAGTCGTATCTGCTAGTCGTTGTCGTTATGTCGTTATCTATTTCAATTTGTGCGGCAATTTGAGCCACTTGATTATATATATATGTATGTATATATGTTGGCCAGATATCACGTACTGAGTTATAGCCTTAAGAGATGGCACCTGTCTGTTGGACAATCGATTGTGTGTTACCATCCAATACCTCCTGTCAATTATACTTTGAAGAGCCTCTATGACGTGTGTTGGCTTTTTAGAATAATAATCCAAAGGTTATATAAAGTAAGAAAAAGCTTAGCATCTTGCAAAATAAAGATGATGCATATTTTAAGATCAAGTACTGGAAATGATCAATCATCTATTATTGGCGATAATGAAATTCGATGGCGTAACTCTGAAGTGTAAGAATTCTTATTTCTTAGTCTTTTTTTTTCCGCATTTTAAGACCGATTCTTTTAGCGGCTTGGCAAATTGAAAACAAATCGCTCATAGCCTGGCTAATTGCAAGTTTTCCGTTCATTTTCCACACAGATAACAACTGCATTAGCAGTAACTACTGTTTTGTGGCTGGCTTATGGGAAATGTTATGTGATGGCTAATGGTGGTTATATATATCTTTACAGTTTGCAGTTTTTAGATCCCGTGAACTACGTGACGAATCACACACACACACATACACTCTCTTTTTTTTGCTTTCTTCTTTCTTTCTTTAATTTTTTTTTTTTTGTTCTTTCTCCGTAGGTCACAAACACACATTCTTTTTAGTTTACTTTTCGTGTTATCACTTCTTGGCAATTAAATTGCAATTTTTTTTTTTTTTTATTTTGATGTTTAACAAAATAAATAAACACGCACTTAAGATTTAGCTACTAAAAAAAAAAAGAATAACTAAAAAATGGAAAAAAAAATATATTAAATTGGTACTAGAACTGCGTACTAAGGTCTAGCGGTAAGCTTTTTCTTTCTGTTTCTTTTGATGGCTTTCTTTCTTCTTTCGCACTCACGTTCTCGCGTTTGGGTGTTTTGGGGGGCGTGTGGTGTATGTTTCCGAGGGGGGAGTTGGGTGGTGGGGGGAAGGCCCACAGGTTGTGGAGTAGATTCCGGCAGAACAGAAGTGAGGAGAAGGCGGAGAAGCGACTTTTGCGAGGCGGCGCCATCGACGACGTTAACAAAACTGAAAACAAAAAACGCGCAAATTATGCATAGAACACAAAACACTCACTCAACCGCTCGCACACACACACACACACACACTTGGCAATAATAGTAGCAATAATAAAGCAACGGTAACTCTCTAATAATAGAGCCAAAGGCAGAAGAAAGAAAAAAAAAAAGTTAAGTTACCTGCGTTGCACAGTGGCCATAAAACTAAAGATAGGCTTTAAAATCTTTAAAAATATTTCAAATCTTTTAATAAATATATACATATTTTTTGATAAAAATCTTTAGACTTTAAAAAATGATTAAAATTTCCGAATTTTTAAGCTTAAAATTCCTATTGATTCCACTGTCTTGGCTCCCTTTCAGCTGGGGCCACTCTCACGCTCTTTTTTTTTTTGTGCACCTCTCTCTCTCTTTCTCTCGCACTCAATTGGAGCCTGGTGCTCTTATCTTATCAGACAATGCAAAATGATAACAACAACAATAAAAACAATAATAATAAAAGGGTGAAAGGGTGAAAAACTGCATGGCAAGTGTTTCTATTCGATACATACTTGTAGATACTTTTTTTTTGTATCTTTGGCGGTTCGCGATGTATTTGTATCTTCACTTGTCGCCGCACTTGGCCAAACTGAACTAAAACTTTGAGCCAAGTGCGTTGCATAAGCCACGATGATGATGATGATGAGCTGCGTCGACGACGACGACGACGACGACGACGACGACGCTGGCAGCGACTGTCAATTTGCGCAAGTTTCTCGTTCTGATTGACGACCTTCAATCGCAGTCAACTACTACTATTCTCAGTGTTTATCGTGTGGGTGCCCCTGCAACCTACTACCTGCAACCTACAACCTA